AAATATGACCCATCGCCGTTTTCAGTAATTGGCATATTTTCGGTATAAAAAGTCGTAATTTGAAAATTAAAATAGGTGCAGAGAGTCAGAATTCGGCTCAAAAATCACGCTCAGGAGTCAAATTTCGGACATTTCAGATATTTTGAAAACTGCAGGGGGGTTTGGGCAAAATATAACCCTTCGCCGTTTTCAGTAATTGGCATATTTTCGGTATAAAAAGTCGTAATTTGAAAATGAAAATAGGTGCGGAGAGTCAGAATTCGGCTCAAAAATCACACTCAGGAGTAAAATTTCGGACATTTCAGATAATTTGAAAACTGCAAGGGGGTTTGGGCAAAATATGACCCATCGTCGTTTTCAATAATTGGCATATTTTCGGTATAAAAATTCGTAATTTGAAAATGAAAATAGGTGCAGAGAGTCAGAATTCGGTTCAAAAATCACGCTCAGGAGTCAAATTTCGGACATTTCAGATATTTTGAAAACTGCAGGGGGGTTTTGGCAAAATATGACCCTTCGCCGTTTTCAGTAATTGGCATATTTTCGGTATACAAAGTCGTTATTTGAAAATGAAAATTGGTGCAGAGAGTCAGAATTCGGCTCAAAAATCACACCTAGGAGTCAAATTTCGGACATTTCAGATATTTTGAAAACTGCAGGGGGGTTTGGGCAAAATATAACCCTTCGCCGCTTTCAGTAATTGGCATATTTTCGGTATAAAAAGTCGTAATTTGAAAATGAAAATAGGTGCAGAGAGTCAGAATTCGGTATAAAAGAATTCGGCTCAAATCACGCTCAGGAGTCAAATTTCGGACATTTCAGATATTTTGAAAACTGCAGGGGGGTTTGGGCAAAATATGACCCATTGCCGTTTTCAGTAATTGGCATATTTTCGGTATAAAAAGTCGTAATTTGAAACTGAAAATAGGTGCAGAGAGTCAGAATTCGGCTCAAAAATCACGCGCAGGAGTCAAATTTCCGACATTTCAGACATTTTGAAAACTGCAGAGGGGTTTGGGCAAAATATGACCCATCGCCGTTTACAGTAATTGGCATATTTTCGGTATGAAACGTCGTAATTTGAAACTGAAAATAGGTGCAGAGAGTCAGAATTCGGATAAAAAATCACGCTCAGGAGTCAAATTTCCAACATTTCAGACATTTTGAAAACTGCTGGGGGGTTTGGGCAAAATATGACCCATCGCCGTTTTTAGTAATTGGCATATTTTCGGTATGAAACGTCGTAATTTGAAACTGAAAATAGGTGCAGAGAGTCAGAATTCGGCTCAAAAATCACGCTCAGGAGTCAAATTTCCGACATTCCAGACATTTTGAAAAATGCAGGGGGGTTTGGGCAAAATATGATCCATCGCCGTTTTCAGTAATTGGCATATTTTCGGTATAAAAAGTCGTAATTTGAAACTGAAAATAGGTGCAGAGAGTCAGAATTCGGATAAAAATCACGCTCAGGAGTCAAATTTCCGACATTTCAGACATTTTGAAAACTGCAGGGGGGTTTGGGCAAAATATGACCCATCGCCGTTAACAGAAATTGGCATATTTTCGGTATGAAACGTCGCAATTTGAAACTGAAAATAGGTGCAGAGAGTCAGAATTCGGCTCAAAAAACACGCTCAGGAGTCAAATTTCCGACATTTAAGACATTTTAAAAACTGCAGGGGGGTTTGGGCAAAATATGACCCATTGCCGTTTTCAGTAATTGGCATATTTTCGGTATAAAAAGTCGTAATTTGAAAATGAAAATAGGTGCAGAGAGTCAGAATTCGGCTCAAAAATCTCGCGCAGGAGTCAAATTTCCAACATTTGAGACATTTTGAAAACTGCAGAGGGGTTTGGGCAAAATATGACCCATTGCCGTTTACAGTAATTGGCATATTTTCGGTATGAAACGTCGTAATTTGAAACTGAAAATAGGTGCAGAGTCAGAATTCGGATAAAAAATCACGCTCATGAGTCAAATTTCCAACATTTCAGATATTTTGAAAACTGCAGGGGGGTTTGGGCAAAATATGACCCATCGCCGTTTTCAGTAATTGGCATATTTTCGGTATAAAAAGTCGTAATTTGAAAATGAAAATAGGTGCAGAGAGTCAGAATTCGGCTTAAAAATCACTCTCAGGAGTCAAATTTCGGACATTTCAGATGTTTTGAAAACTGCAGGGGGGTTTGGGCAAAATATGACCCATCGCCGTTTTCAGTAATTGGCATATTTTCGGTATAAAAAGTCGTAATTTGAAAATGAAAATAGGTGCAGAGAGTCAGAATTCGGCTCAAAAACACGCTCAGGAGTCAAATTTCGGACATTTTAGATATTTTGAAAACTGCAGGGGGGTTTGGGCAAAATATAACCCTTCGCCGTTTTCAGTAATTGGTATATTTTCGGTATAAAAAGTCGTAATTTGAAAATGAAAATAGGTGCAGAGTCAGAATTCGGCTCAAAAATCACACTCAGGAGTCAAATTTCGGACATTTCAGATATTTTGAAAACTGCAGGGGGGTTTGGGCAAAATATGACCCATCGCCGTTTTCAATAATTGGCATATTTTCGGTATAAAAAGTCGTAATTTGAAACTGAAAATAGGTGCAGAGAGTCAGAATTCGGCTAAAAAATCACGCTCAGGAGTCAAATTTCGGACATTTCAGATATTTTGAAAACTGCAGGGGGGTTTTAGCAAAATATGACCCATCGCCGTTTTCAGTAATTGGCATATTTTCGGTATAAAAAGTCGTAATTTGAAAATGAAAATAGGTGCAGAGAGTCAGAAATCGGCTCAAAAATCACGCTCAGGAGTCAAATTTCGGACATTTCAGATATTTTGAAAACTGCAGGGCGGTTTGGGCAAAAATGTGACCCATCGTTGTTTTCAGTAATTGGCATATTTTCGGTATAAAAATTCGTAATTTGAAAATATAAATAGGTGCAGAGAGTTAGAATTCGGCTCAAAAATCGCGCTCAGGAGTCAAATTTCGGACATTTCAGATATTTTGAAAACTGCAGGGGTGTTTGGGCAAAATATAACCCTTCGCTGTTTTCAGTAATTGGCATATTTTCGGTATAAAAAGTCGTAATTTGAAACTGAAAATAGGTGCAGAGAGTCAGAATTCGGCTCAAAAATCTCGCGCAGGAGTCAAATTTCCAACATTTGAGACATTTTGAAAACTGCAGAGGGGTTTGGGCAAAATATGACCCATTGCCGTTTACAGTAATTGGCATATTTTCGGTATGAAACGTCGTAATTTGAAACTGAAAATAGGTGCAGAGTCAGAATTCGGATAAAAAATCACGCTCATGAGTCAAATTTCCAACATTTCAGATATTTTGAAAACTGCAGGGGGGTTTGGGCAAAATATGACCCATCGCCGTTTTCAGTAATTGGCATATTTTCGGTATAAAAAGTCGTAATTTGAAAATGAAAATAGGTGCACAGAGTCAGAATTCGGCTCAAAAATCGCGCTCAGGAGTCAAATTTCGGACATTTCAGATATTTTGAAAACTGCAGGGGGGTTTGGGCAAAATATGACCCATCGCCGTTTTCAGTAATTGGCATATTTTCGGTATAAAAAGGCGTAATTTGAAAATGAAAATAGGTGCAGAGAGTCAGAATTCGGCTCAAAAATCACGCTCAGGAGTCAAATTTCGGACATTTCAAATATTTTGAAAACTGCAGGTGGGTTTGGGCAAATTCGCTACTTTTAGACCGTCAGCTCGCTACTTTTAGCAATTTGAATCTGGCAACCCTGAGTAGAGGGTCAGGTGACGAGTCTGTGACGTCGTAGGAATACGTATTCAGATATTATTATTATTATTATTCAGAAAAGCTCGTAATTCATTATGTCTGGGGACAGGAAGCCATTGTATACATACACGTTAGGCTTATATCGAGGGTCCCATCCCCCCTCCCCAGGTCAAATTACTGAATCTGCTTAGGATGCCACCCTACAAGAAGCTAACTCCTGGGTACCTACTTACTGCTAGGTGAACCGACGCATTAGGTGAAAGGAAACGTGCCCAGAGTAGGACCGATTGGTCCTACTCTGGGACCCGGAATTTGAACCCGGAATTCTCGACTGTGCATCGAGAACGAACCCTACTGTACTACCGGGACCCTAGGTATATTGAAAATTATAGGTTTATTGGTTTTACCCAATTTCCTATTTTGGGGTAGGGTCGCGTCAGCCTGGAGATAACCTATGGATAATAGTGTGAAGGTTAGGTATAACAGATCCATTTATTATACCTTCCACACTATATAACATCAGATAAACAAGCGCTACCACCACACTCCAAGAGTCATCCACTGTAGTAGTCCTCCAGGTGTACAGGGCTAGTACTAATTTTTGTGTACAATATCTTGATTCTTGAGGTTATCTCGAGTTGATTTCGGGGCTTTTTAGTGTCCCCGCGGCCCGGTCCTCGACCAGGCCTCCAACCCCAGGAAGCAGCCCGTGACAGCTGACTTACACCCAGGTACCTATTTACTGCTTGGTAACAGGGTGAAAGAAACTGCCCATCGTTTCTCGCCGGCGCCCGGGATCGAACCCGGGACCACAGGATCACGTGACCAGCGTGCTGGCTGTCTGGTCCCCCGAGCAATATATGCTTTTATTGTAAACCGCCTCCACCCAGCCTTGTCCATAACAATCATCCCATACAGTGTTTACTCCCCATCCCCGCTGCTTCACACACACATGTATACTCAACTTCCTCTAGGCTTTTCTTTAGTGTCTCTCGGAATTCTCTCTCTCTAGTGGCTTTTCTCGGAATGCACTTTTTCCAGCCGGTCTACCATCATCCTTTCCTTCACCCATTGACAAATATTCGACGTTACACTGAAAAATCCGCCTGGAAAGAAATTGTTCAAAGACATCTCAAAGTAGTGAAAAATCTCTCAAGTAGAAATACAATCTTACAGCAGTGGAACTGAAGATGTTCGTTCTTTGAAAATTACATAATGAAGAGGATATTTAAAGAGCATATATATATAGAAAGAAACATTTAATGGTATCTTACGTAAAATATACAATGTATATACAAGGGTCAACATTCACACGTAACAACTAAATTAACATGTCAGTCTGTAGAGGGATAAAGATATCAACTGGGAGTCAGTGACCTCAACATTCTTAGAAAAACAAAATACATTTTACTACACGAAAATGAGCCTTACAATGCCTTGCAATGCACGAGTATAAATGTCACTGACAACCTCGTATCGTAACAAGGGGATCTGATATTTAATCTTTGGCGGAGAAAGTATTCAATCTCTCAACTTGTTTCAACAAGGGAAACAGAATATCATTTGATTAGAGAAAATATACAATCCCCTTCTTATTGTAGGTGAGATTCGATATCTATTTTCATGCTTAAAAATAGGCATTGAATCTCATATTCCTGAAGTTGTGTATTCATTTTAAAATAGAATGCTCTAGACAGCTACTCGATTTTAAATCTAATTCTATTTTTTTCTTTAAATAACAACTTATCCTAATAGAATACTGAGAGATGAATACTCAGTACAGTTATTGACACAATGCGCGCGGCATAAGACATGGGCCTCTGTTGTAGACCATAAACAAAAAACTGACAAGTCTTAATGAATTACGGAAACATCTACATCGAGGACGGTTATTTAGCAATGCTACAGAATCACAAATTGTAAGTTTACACGTATTTTTTTATCGCTAATAAATCTGAAATTTTGTATACTACTCAGAAGCGCCTCTGCATGACTCAGTGGCACTGGGACGGGGTTGTGTCGGAATACTCAGTAGATCTGAGTACAGTACACTCAAGTACTTTATACATTTTGAGTACATGGTATGCTTAAGTACTTGATAAATTTAAGCACACTGTGATTACACAGTACGCTCGAGTACACAGTATATTTGCACACAAGAGAGACGGACAGAACTAAGATACAGCAGACCATTCATGACCAAAGTCGAGGGAACATGTATTGGAAACGTTTAGTGAAGACTTGAAGCAGTACAGTGGAGAGAGAGGGAGAGAGGGGAGGAGAGAGAGCGCGAGCTGTGGAATGTGACAGAGGTTAACATTCATCGACACGCTTCCTAGGACACACAATAGACTGCAAGGCAAGAAGGTAAAATTCGTTAAGACAATTATGAATGGGAATATTGAACTTTGATTTAATTAAATAACATAGCAACTATTACAGTTTTTCTAGAGTATGAACGGTTTTATTTTGGCTGAATTCTGCAACTTAAACCCTATATGTGTATGTATATATATATTATATATATATAATTACAGTATATAATTATAAAAAAATTACCTCCAATTATTCGTCCTCCAATAAGTACAAGTCAAATAAATATCTAAAATTCTATAAAAATTTAGGACAAAAATTGAGCTAGAAATAACCGGCAGCGAAGGCTAATATCACCGGGATTAGCTTCATGGTTTACTTATATTAATTATTGCAGAGAAGGTTTGAGCTGGCAGGTGATCATGTGTGGTGAGGAGGAGGGACGGACGGACCAGCAGGTGTGTCGGGCTCCAGCAACTGTTCACTGTCGTAGAGGCCACACAGCTGACTGGTGAGTACTTCTTGCAGTGCCAGGCACACACAGGCACCAGTGAGGCTCGAGTGCAGGAAGACACGCGTTGATTGGCTACACAAAGGCACTGAGAAGCACACGATTGGTTGAGGTACTGTAGAGGGTGGAGCTAGTAGTGATGGTGGCTCCCTTACGCACATTCAGGGTTCGGGCATCGCACTGTGGGCAAAATTGTTTGGTTTAAATTATGAATATTTAGGGATCACAGAAGGAGGAAGGGTTACACTTGTACAACAGTAGTTACTTTAAAATCTTCAAGGTTATCTGTCTTTTATCATCGGGTAACAATGTGCGACAGTCCGTCGTCTTGGCAGCCTTAACACTATCATAATGTTTAATGTTACATATTACAAAAGCATATAACACAAACATCCAATCTACAACACAACAATCACATGTGACTGGTGTCTTAAGAAATCCCGAGAGTAAGCACAAAGTCCAATCTGAACTTAAATCATACTTTAACAAACCACAAGATGCTTAATCTTGTCTGAGGAAAGGAGGAGCGGTGTGGAGAGGAAAAAGAGTGGAGGGGAAAAGTTGGAAGAGGAGGGGAGATGCGAAGGAGGGACAGAGGAGAGGTGGTGTGGGGGAAGAGGTGCGAATAAAGCCGTGGGACTCACCGCAGTTGCCGAGCCTGTAGCCATGACCTTCTGGACAGGTGTGGCAGCAGAGTTGGGGCTTGGCTTTGAAGGAGCTGTCGGCAGCCATGGGAAGGACGAGGGCGATGTTGTCGTAATCGATGAGGGTCATGAAGGCGTTGTCCTCGGTGACGGTAAGGACAGCCTCGCGCACCAGGTCGATGAAGCCAACCTGGTCCGTGATGTTGTAGACCGGAGTGTCGATGGTGATGATCACCTCACTCAGCTTGTTGCCCTCCTCATCCAGCTGTCGAGCACATGCTTCATTAGTACAACCATCACTACCAAACAACTACTCACGCCACATTAAAACACCTACATACATCTTGCCCTCTCAGTCACAGAGATCAGTGAATGACTAACATGTGAGGCAAGAAGGTAGAAGACCTCTACATGTGAGGCATGAAAAGGGGGGGGGACCTCTACATGTCCCCCCCCCAATCTCTTCATGCCTCACATCTACATGTGAGGCATGAAGAGAGGATGGTACCTCAAATGTAGAGGCATGGAGGGAGGGTCTCTACATGTGAGGCGCGAAGAGAGGGGAAGGGGACCCCTACATGCGAGGCATGAAGAGGGGGGGGGAGTCCTCTTCATATGTACTTTAAAAACACTAGTGGGGCCGTGTACAGCTCCACCAACTCATGTCGCTCATCACAGTTATTATAGCTACTATAACTACTACTACAAGCTACAAGCACAATTTAGCTTCCATAATTACAGAAACTCTAACGAAAATACAAGAAAAAACTTGAGGGGAGAGGTAGAAGGAGCGGTAGAAACTAGCTAGAGTAGATGTAGAAGCATCACCAGTAAATAATAATTATCTGAGTAAGATATAGAGTCGGGGTGGCAGGATATGGGTGTGTGGATACTAACAGCGCTCTTGATCTGCAGGTCGCCGATGCCGCACTCCTCCGGGTAAGGACAGAAGATATCGTTGTACTTGTAGACCAGACCATCGAACTGGTGCTGCAGGGTCTCGATGCTGGCACGCTTGTATACGATCTTGAACTGTAGGTTGGCTGAGAACACCGGCACGATCTCTGTTGGAGGAGGAAAAGGTTAGTGGAGGTTGGTGGTGGAGGACCAGGGGGTAGTGGAGGGTGTTGCTGGTGGTGGACCAGGGGGTAGTGGAGGGGATGGTGGTGGAGGACCAGGGGGTAGTGGAGGGGGTGGTGGTGGAGGACCAGGGGGTAGTGGAGGGGGTGGTGGTGGAGGACCAGGGGGTAGTGGAGGGGGTGGTGGTGGAGGACCAGGGGGTAGTGGAGGGGGTGGTGGTGGAGGACCAGGGGGTGGTGGTGGAAGACCAGGGGGTAGTGGAGGGGGTGGTGGAGGAGGACCAGGGGGTCGTGGAGGGGGTGGTGGAGGAGGACCAGGGGGTAGTGGAGGGGGTGGTGGTGGGCCAGGGGGTAGTGGAGGGGGTGGTGGTGGAGTACCAGGGGGTAGTGGAGGGGGTGGTGGTGGAGGACCAAGGGGTAGTGGAGGGGGTGGTGGTGGAGGACCAGGAGGTAGTGGAGGGGGTGGTGGTGGAGGACCAGGGGGTAGTGGAGGGGTGGTGGTGGTGGAGGACCAGGTTAGTGGAGGGTGGTGGTGGTGGACCAGGGGGTAGTGGAGGATGTTGGTGGTGGAGGAGGACCAGGTTAGTGGAGGGTGGTGGTGGTGGAGGAGGAGGACCAGGGGGTAGTGGAGGAGGACCAGGGTAGTGGAGGATGTTGGTGGTGGAGGACCAGGGGGTAGTGGAGGGTGTTGGTGGTGGAGGAGGAGGACCAGGGGGTAGTGGAGGGGGTGGTGGAGGACCAGGGGGTAGTGGAGGGAGTGGTGGAAGACCAGGGGGTAGTGGAGGGAGTGGTGGAGGACCAGGGGGTAGTGGAGGGAGTGGTGGAGGACCAGGGGGTAGTGGAGGGCGTGGTGGAGGACCAGGGGGTAGTGGAGGGAGTGGTGGAGGACCAGGGAGTAGTGGAGGGAGTGGTGGAGGACCAGGGAGTAGTGGAGGGAGTGGTGGAGGACCAGGGGGTAGTGGAGGGAGTGGTGGAGGACCAGGGGGTAGTGGAGGGAGTGGTGGAGGACCAGGGGGTAGTGGAGGGAGTGGTGGAGGACCAGGGGGTAGTGGAGGGAGTGGTGGAGGACCAGGGGGTAGTGGAGGGAGTGGTGGAGGACCAGGGGGTAGTGGAGGGAGTGGTGGAGGACCAGGGGGTAGTGGAGGGGGGTGGAGTGTGAAGTAACATTCAAACACTACATTAGGGAGAAAATGGAACCAGGGATAAACTTAGAAATAAAACATAATGCGGACTGCAATATTCATTACTGCAATAAATATAATTATGTATACAAGATGTTAAAACGAGGAAAGATTACAACTCGATACATAAGAGTATAATACAGTATACTACACAGTATAAGCGAGGCGCTGGAACAGGTTAAGACATATAGGTCACTTTTTACTCCTCATGGGAAAAACATAAAAAGCTATAGAATAACAGGTTAAATCAAATTAAAAAAAACCAGCACGAGAAAGTGGGAAGAGACGTGCCAGAGACGGGAGGACAAGACAAGTCTGAGCATAGGCAAGTCTAGACGAGTCTTGCAGGACTGAAGCCGCAACCCAAGACGAAGTGGCTGCAGTTTTCAATTGTCGGGGACATGGAGGCTCTTGGGGTTATGAAGGTGTATCTAGGCCAACAACTGACCTTCTCCAGGATGCAACCCACAACAGCTGCCTAACTTCAAGGTACCTATTGTACTGCTGGGTGAGCAGAAAGAAGCATCCATCAGGTATAAGGAAACGCGGCCAAGCGTCTGCTCTTATCCAGGGAATAAAACCCTTGGTGGTCCAATGGCTTGTGAGCTGACCGCTCGGAAACCAGAAATACATGACTATCTGGTCTGAGACTGAGCACCTTTTGTAGAAAAAGCTGTGTGGTGGCGAATAATTAGGAGTCAAGTGAAGGCACGGATGCAGAGTTAATACTTGTCCCAGCGATAAGAAAACAGCGCCACAAAAAAGTTGTAAAGTGACCTTATTGAGGAAGGCAAGAAGCGGCCAGAATGCGTCCCAGCACCCCAGGTGTAGAACAATATGTTCCGTCACCGCTAGTCAGAGGTCATTATCTCTTATCTGGCGGGTTAAGATGAGCTCCTTAACACGCGAGGATAAGGTGAGGTGAGAGGGTGAGGGCTGAGGTGCCCAGACAGAGGGTAAAGGAGGCAAAGGAAGCCACGGGAGGTGTGATAAGACGCCGCTAATGGCTGCCACCTCACCCTCACGGGTCATCACCAGACATCACAGTATACTGTACACCATTTATCCAGGATCCAATAATGGTCTAACCAAATCCAGTTTTAATATCTACAAATACATTTTAGAGAGACTACGGTGTTGGGGAGCAAAAACACAGAGGGGGGGGGGGGGGGGTGCAATGGGAGAGGTTATGATGGAAAAATTCAGTTGATGGAAAGTATTAAAACAGGCGGGAGAGGGAAGGGTGAGGGAGGGGAAGTGAGAGGACACAGGAGAGGAAGATAAGGTTAGTGAAAGTAGTCACAACGGGAAGCCTGCGATTTTTTGAGGCCGCTGACAAGCGGTTCGTATCACTACCTTGGTCTCCAGTTATGACAAACTGGGCAGTGATCCGTATGGTGCATGTCACACCTCTGACGAGCCTTGACGGAGGATATGACTGACACAGACACACACACACGTCAACACTGACGGGTGTGAGGAGAGATGGGTGGGTGAGGGAGCAAGGAGACAAGCACACGGTCTGACCTCTCAACGAAGGAAATAACTTCACTCATCGTCCACATCGTGGAAGTGGAGTGGAATGAGCTACAGTGAAGCACCAGAGAACAGAGCGTGACTACACTGAAGCACAGGAGCAGCAGCACAGGAACAGATAGTAACGTTTAAAATTCTAACGTGACTCGACAAAGAAGCAATGAATAAAATTAGTATTAACTGAACAGCGACGGATAGTTGAAACTCGAGAGTTTGAGACACCAGGAAGTTTTCTTGTTGAGTAAGAGTTACACATAAATGAAGCAGGTTAAATTAGGGTGGTGAAGCAACATCTATATACAGCTTCAGTAGCAAATATGATACGAGTCCCATGGAGGAGAAAAGCAATGCATTGATCAATTAAAATTTGGAAAAGCAGGGCTTAGGAACTAAACCTCAATCCTACAAGCATATCTAGAGTAGCGTGGTGTAAAATAAATATATATATATATATATATATATATTAGTGTGTGTTGCAATTTCGTGCCAGAAAAAGATAAGGACAGTTGAGACAAGACATAATGGTTGAGACATGTCAGGGCTGAGGTTGGAGGGGGGGGGGGTCATCGATAACACCAAAGCCTCGTCTGACAAATGGATTCAGGTACTGGAAGTGGAGATAGTGTGTGTGTGTGTGTGTGTGTGTGTGTGTGGGAGGCGAGAGTTTAAGGACAATAAGCAATAGATGATCCCTGCCTGGCGCCTGATAGATGGGTGCAGGATAGAGGTGGGGGTGGCATTGGATGCACAAGATACCAACGCTCGCGGCAACACTCCCGCAACTCCAGAGGGAAAGTTATTTACCTCTGTAATGTTCAAATGATGAAAATGTGTGGGAGAAACTAGGAGTATATAAGGCGACCTATTGGTCCATGGCGGTAGACAACGGTGGTATAGGGGCGCCCAACCGTAAAGAGAACCATGGAAACTTTCTCTTGTTGGCTTTATACGTTAAATTATCACATCAGACGTATTCAGCGAGAAATGGGGAGCCAAGAAAGGCCACACAAAAGTGGTGGTGCAGGAGGTATACAGAACAAGTGATACTGTCGGCTGTGAGAGAAGGGTTCAACCCGAGAGAGCATAACAGGTGAAACTGGGTGAGAAGAGAAGGTGTTCCTTTCAGTCAGGTGAAGTGCGGAAGTGGGTACTGGGGAGATGGTGGGGGTCGATGAGGGGTGGGGTGGAGTAGGGGGGTGGGGGTTGGGGGGTTGGAAACGGGTTGGGGGATGGAGAGAGTGTAGGAGTGGTGTAGTGGTCCTACAAGTGAGGTCTGGCACACTGCCCAGTTGGTCAATGTGTGCAGCCCTCACCTAGCTGCGCTGCCACATTGTGTAGCTTAATACAATAACTCTGCTCTTGCTCGTCTTTACTCATTAACCGTAACCTGTTACACTTATTTGCATCTCTAACACTGAAGTTCCTTGTGAATCATCTGTCTCGTTTCCATATGTCTCTCATTCTGTTATTCTTAACTTTAAACATCACTTTTCAGTGTATTTTTATAATTTACTTTAGAATATATGATGTGATCATGTCCCCCACTGTTTCTCCGCCCCAGTGTGGCGAGGTCCATCTCCCTTAGTTTCCCCGTAGCTCGGACCCCTCAGCTCAGGGACGAACCTTGATACACATCTCTGGACTTCTGTTTAGTTGTATTTTGTGCATATTTAGGAAGGAGTTCCATGCCAAGGCTGCATACTCACGGGTGTTTTGTGCACAGAGAACCCGGAAGACTCTTGCTCAAATTCATGCTGGCTCTCCGGGTGTTGGGCAGGTATGCCACGGACGTTGTTCTGCTAATGTGTATCTCAAGTAGTAACTTTAGTGCTATGTCAATTTCCAAGACTTTTCTCCTTACTGATGCAGGGGTTAAAATCCAGGTGCCATTTGTCAGACCGCGTCTTGAGCATCAAGAGCCCTTTGTAGGGTTTCACTGTCCTGATTCATATTAGTGAATGTTTTACATGTTAAATATGACGTATATTGGTAAGAGGGAGGACTGTAGTACCGAGCCTTGTGGTACTCTACTCCTTACCGCTCTCCACTTTGCTGTTCTCACACTGCTTCTGCGCCGCTCGTGTAGCTTCTACCTACTTGTTCCTTGTCCTTGTTGTAGTGGCGGTGTTGGCAACCATGACAAACCCGCGAGATAATCAGGCCAAATAATTTAACCGGGACTAAACCAACTATACTTCTCGCTATTAAGTGTCTCTTGCATCAAATTATTTATGCATATTTATTATAAATTTCAATTGGGGTCGTGTACAAAGCCAAATTGGTACATTAGACGGGGGGGGGGGGGGGCGGGACTTTATACACTTTGTGAAAAAGATGTATTAGTTTCCTGCCTGACTTAAGAGTTAGGGGGGACATGATCACCATATAAAAGATTCTCAAAGGAATTGATAGGGTAGACAGTTTATTTAACACAAGAGGCACACGCACTGGGGGACACAGGTGGAAATTGAGGACCAAAATGAGTCACAGAAACGTGAGAAAGATATTTTTCTTAGTGTCAGAGTGGCTAAGAAATGGAATGCATTAATGAAGTGATGTGGTGAAAAGCAGCGGTTAGAAAAACGGAATCGAAGAGCTCGATCCTGCAGACACAAATAGGCGAGTACACGCCCAGTCGAGGAGACACGCCCCTACTGTAGCCAGACACACTGAGGGAGAGTGAGCACTTACCGTAACACTCTGGGGCCTTGCCAGATGGAGCCCACACGCCGCCAGCGTCGCACGAGTACTTGGGGGCCGGCTGCTCGAAGAAGCCGAAGCCAGTCTCACAGACGGTGTCGCACATAGACCCTGCGGAGAGATGGTGGGTTAGTGCGGGGGTGCGGCACCACGACGGACGCCCTGGCTCTCCCACACGGTACAACTGACAGATCATTAACGTCTGCCCCCTTGATGAACGGCACGTCATCAAGGGGGGCAGACTGACGTCAGGAGTGGAACGTAAAAACTACATTAATTCGATATATGATGGTGGTGTGGCCCCTGATGTGTTGTTGGCAATATGTGGTTCAGTAACTACACACATAATAATAAACAAATGAAGTATAGTGTGTGTAGTACACCGCCCCGCCCAGTGACACTCAACTACACCGGATGCCAAGACCCTACCACACCCAACACTGCCCCTCTGACGGGGCAGGAAACACACCCCCCCCCCACTCACCTACCCCGGCACAAGGTCAACCATTAAGAAGCCAGCACACACATTATTGCCCACAGCTCAACGAGCCGTCTCATGATTGACGCAAGCAGCACATGACGCCACCACTGTACCTGCACATGTTGCAGGGGACATGCAGCCAGTCACTCCCGCCCTTAACATCACTACTGACTCTTCCATACACAACACCCCAAAGCCCCGGGGAACACTTGTGGGGAGGGAATGACACTGTCTACACTTAATTGATAATAACTGGTTAGCACTATCGAGGGCGGTGGTACCCGACGTGGCCTCAAACAATTGGCTTTAACAACCCTGACAATAACAATCACACAGTTGTTCACACCTGAGCTGCTACAGTTGTGACAAGCTGCCAGCTGCATGATAATGACCCGGGAGACAGTAAATAACATTACTACGTGTTTCTTGTGATTACACGGGATATTATATGGTCATGAGCCTCAGTGTGTCAAGAAGTGTACACTCGACACCCCGACACCCTATACACCATATAAATACTACACCCTACAGTGCCTACACTGTCGACCTCGTAGCTATGTTTTATACACTACACCCTTCACATGTTGACCGGACCAGGTCTGGTCAACATACTTCAGCCACGTTGTTGTGACTCATCGCCTGCACTCCTCACATACTCTACACTATACTGTAAAGAGCCCACATCCTCACCTCCAGCGATCCATCATACCCAAACTATCAAGTGTATCCACCTTTGTTTTAGGTCATGTTGTTCCCTCTCCTCGCGTTCTACACAGAGACCTTTCACTTGCCCCAGTGCTCGGAGCTCCTTACTGCCCCACCATGTGTGTCATCACTGCTCTCTGTCTCAGCGTGACCTACACCTTACCCTACTCACTCGGTGCCACCAGTGTTCCGGCATCCTTACCCCTCCCCCCTCTAAAACACACATCACACCCAAGAGGCTCCCTACACCCTTAAAGGACACCCCCCTCACACCAATGCGGCCCAAGGGCACTTACCCTTGCTCCAGGTGATCTTGTTTTCACAAGAGCCGTCGTGAACTACCTCAGACACGCCCCGGCAGGTGGAGATAGTGTGGAACGGCGTCTCGAAGTTCGGGCAAGTCTCCACATCTGTAACACAAATACACTGGTTAGGATCCCACATTAAGCAAATCTATTAGGTGTAACAACGTCAAATACAGACCAACGATAATATCTGACTTAGCGCTGTCTCCTGACAATGACCTCACGTTACCTCCCTCCTTGCCATCTTTACATGCATAGCTGCAACACGAACACGTCTGCGTTAACTGCTCTACAATAGTAACATTTCTGCAACACAACCACATCTTCAACAGTATCAAATATGCAGCATTTAAGTATTAACTGGTTCCATAAACAGCGTCTCTTCCTGCGGCGATAACACAAAAGCTGTCTTGGGGACCTATGGAGAGTCGTTAGCAGAGTCTAACAGCGATTCGGTCCAGAGGTGCTTACGAGAATACACGCGGCCATGTAAACAGACGGACGCCACCACACAATTGAATGAACGCTGTCAGACACGCAAGGGCGCACTGCGTTCCACAAACGTTTACCGAATGTACAAAATTTGAGGTAAAACCGATGCTATTAAGCTACAGGCGGTGTTTGGGGCCGTTGGCTGAGAAAAGGAATAGGCAAGGGTACATATAGGAGAGGAAGATGGAAAAAAGGTGGAGGAAGAGGAGGGCAAACGAGAAAAAGAGCGGCCATGTAAGCGTGATGGGGGGGTGGAGGAGAGTGTGGGAGGGTGGAGCGAGGACCTCAAGGATAACTAGTACACCACCCCGACACCCACACACCAACACCCACACAATCTCCATCCTATACCAACACCGGAAGTCAACTTCACGAGTGTTCAGGGTCGTTAGTAAGTAATTATCAATCTTTAGGGTCTTCTGGCGATGATATATATACACAGTTATCATCCGCTCTAATATCCCAGGCATCAGCTGGAGACCTGCACGAGAACTGACTGGCCTCTCAGGAATATAAGGTGTTGTCACACCACTAGACGTGCTCCACCTGTTGTCTTCCGCGGATCATCTGCATAAACCTGTCTTTAACTCAAAAGTGAAAGATTGGAGATTGGTGCGTTTAGTCAAGGTGATCAGATCTTTGTACATACACGTTAATGTCATGTATCAATGAGAAAATCATTAGGAGCCATGAGGAAGATTCGAACCCTCACACTTTGTACTCCAATGCCCACGCCCTAGACCACTACACCACGACAGGATCAAAGGCAATGCAACCGGGAATTCAATTAAGTCCTCGAGGGGTCCTGAGACTTCCGCTGAAGCCTAATCAGGGGTTTTACGTCATGTCCCCCCCCCTCATGCACTCTGGTTGTGGTCCAGGAATTTATTCTCATTAGATTTCTGTTTAATTTCCGGGCCAATGTAAGGCAGCGTTGGGTGTTGGTCTGGTGACGCTCCCACCATGGGGCCCCCACACTCCCACCACGGGCAACTATGGTCCATGGTGTTGACACCAAGGATAGCTTCCATGTACCACACATTTTTCTCATGATTTTCATGTGCGGACAGATATTTGAGGAGGATACCGCTGCCTATGGAACAGGGAAGTGGTGGAGGCGTGTGAAGCCTTGAGAATGTCAGTGATGTTCCCAGTTAACGCTTAGTAATGCCATATGTTGCCATATTTACGGAAGAATGATGTTCCACAAGAGCACATTTTTGTATTTATATATATACAAGAGTTCTTACATTCTTGTACAGCCGGTAACACTCATAGCGTTTCCGGCAAGTCCTTAATCCTAATTTTCACACACACACACACACACACACACACACACACTTCCAGGAAGCAGCCCGTAGCAGCTAACTCCCAGATACCTATTTAATGCTAGGTGAACAGGGGCATCAGGGTGAAGAAACTGCCTATTTGTTTCAGCCTCCGCCGGGGATCTAACCCGGACCCTTAGGATTACGAAACCCGAGCGCTATCCACTCAGCCGTCAGGCCCCCGGAAGTTCCCCCGTGCCCACATGGAAAGTCCACTAGTGACAAGAGAATATCGGCGTCACTCTCAGTGGCTCCTCCAGGGGGCACTGGACACCGGCGTCACCCTCAGTAGCTCCTCCAGTACAGGGTCAAAAACTAGCAACCCCGTGAGCCAGTATGAGGCCAGGTGGCACCCCGCTCAGCGTGCCCTAGTCCCCCGCCCTCACACCTCACACTCCCAGCACCAAAATCACAACGGGGAGACGGCATATGGTTAGCGGGCAGGAGAGGTGTACCCAGATGACTGGTATGGGATGTTAGGGCACCCCATCATTAAGGTCCCCGGGGCCAACCCTCCTCACTACTCCCGGGTTGAGGTGTCTTCCAAAGTGACCCACATTCATCCCCCCCCCCACCAATTGACCTCATTACTGTACACGCAAACCAGATTCACGCCTTGCTCAGTTGCCCAGTCTTAATTAGAACTCATACACTCCCAGCCCCCATTCCTAGCGTTCTGCGGGAGACCACCAAGACCTCAGGTGAAGGCTGGACCGTACTCTTACACCTGCCGCCACCACACTTATTTATATTTATCTTACGATCGTCTTCCAGTTGAGGTAGATACGTCAAGAGAAATACCTGGATCGTAGCGTAGTTAAGATACTAATAGTCTTACTATATTTCTGCTGGCGAAGACCTGATTACTACAGCATATTGTAACGCTTAACCCTACATATTTTGCCCAGAGCACAATCCACATGTTTATTTACACCCAAGTTCCCAGGGGTGTGGGAGAGTGGAGAGTGAGGTGGGAGAATAAGGTGGGTGTGTGAGGGTGGGTGATGGCTGGAGGGGGTGTGACCCACACCTGGAGGGCCAGACAGTAACCCTCAGGTCTCCTTGCACAGTGTGCCAGGCCGCACGTTACAGGTCCGCCTCAACACCTGAAGACGTTGGCCTCGAATCTTTAATACCAAGGTATAACTTATTTGTAATAGTTCCATATAAAACTACATGCAAGATTCTCCCCCCCGAGGTCTTTGACAGGTCGTAAGAGGTCAAAGTTGGAGACATTAGGCCACAGCAGGTGACCGTCCTCTACCTACCCCAATAAGCCAGGAGCTTGAAGGAGGCAACAGACCAACCACAAGGAGGAACTTGAGGTGCCAGGAGCGACCACTGTAACCAGTGGTAGCCTACCTGGTGCTGACCTTGAGAGGCAGGATGGCCTACACCAGGCCTACCTCCCGTCTTGGGAACGGTAACCCACAACCTTACACAACACTCACATAGTTAACTTTATGAATAAGCTAATACGATGGATTGTTTCAAGCGAAGGTTAGACATGTATATGAAAGAGTTTAGGTGGATATAAACATGGGCTACCTCGTATGGGTCAATAGCCCGGTAAGCCTTTTGCGGTGTTTTATGTTTGTGACTAGACAACCAAGTGGTATTTGTATAACTGGTAACTGAGTAAGGTGACCAAACTGAAGAGCAGCATGTTAGGCCACACAGCGCCAAGCTGTGACGGTATTCAGCAGGAACAACAGTGGCAGCATAGCGAACTCCACAACTCGGGACGTCACATGAGGAAAGACTCGCGCATAACTTTGATCACTTATAACAAGAGTTTCCAGAGTGGTAAACGTTATGTAACATGTAATACCAGGTGTGCCAGCCAGGGTGAGTCAACTGGTGCCAGGTGTAACGCCAGCCGTGTCAGGTGTGACATCTGGCAACGGAGAGAGAGAACGATTAAACTGCACACACCTCTTAATGCTGTGAATGTGGCAGCTCCTGGTGTGTTGCAAGTCTTTCCATGGTAAAGTTAGTGTTGAGGTGTGTGTGTACTCACGTAGTTGTGCTTGCGGGGGTTGAGCTTTGGCTCTTTGGTCCCGCCTCTCAACTGTCAATCAACTGGTGTACAGATTCCTGAGCCTAGTGTACTCACCTAGTTGAGTACACTAGGCTAGTGTGTGTGTGTGTGTGTGTGTGTGTGTGTGTGTGTGTGTGTGTGTGTGTGTGTGTGTGTGTGTGTGTGTGTGTGTGTGTGTGTGTGTGTGTGTGTGTGTTGACCGCTAACAGCCTCACACACCAACCACCAAAAGCAATGCAGCACTACAAAAGCCCCATCAACAACAACAAATTAAATAAATGACAAATAAAAGGAGCAGCAACAACCAGCAGGATAATGGACCCAATAACCTAACCATTAACCACAACGTCTAAGACGGAAAAACACAAACAACTCCACCAACACATTGACTCCACCACCACCACCAACACCACCGCAGGAACAACCATATAAGCAGCAACAGTAATATTTCAGTCAAATAAGAGGAACTGGGAAAAGTAAACAGAGGCTCCTAGCCCTAACCTCGTTCACTTCATTATACTCTAGACAAGTTTTTGTTTTGGTTGTTCACACTCTGGTGAGGCTGGGCCACACCCACACCTGGTGAGGCTGGGCCACACACCCCTGGTGAGGTTAGGCCACACACCCCTGGTGAGGTTAGGCCACACCCTGGTGAGGCTGGGCCACACACCCCTGGTGAGGTTAGGCCACACACCCCTGGTGAGGCTGGGCCACACCCACACCTGGTGAGGCTGGGCCACACACCCCTGGTGAGGTTAGGCCACACCCTGGTGAGGCTGGGCCACACACCCCTGGTGAGGTTAGGCCACACACCCCTGGTGAGGCTGGGCCACACACCCCTGGTGAGGTTAGGCCACACCCTGGTGAGGCTGGGCCACACACCCCTGGTGAGGTTAGGCCACACACCCCTGGTGAGGCTGGGCCACACCCACACCTGGTGAGGCATGTTTAGTCTGATCTGCAGTGTTCACTAGCTCATACCAGCCATATGTTGCAAGCTGGAGATGCAACACTGTTGACGACCGAGGTACCATTCTGGTGAGCAATTCAGTGGTTGACGTGTTACACTATTACGTCCGTTGAGGGAAGACGGGCTACTGGTCAGCGTCAGCAGCTTGCTGGCTTACGTTTGACATCATTACCTTAGTAACTCCCTACTGACGAATGTTCCTGTATGTTATCAACACCTTAGTTAATATTCGGAGCCAAGACTGGCATATTAAAGTGCGATTGTCACCGCAGTG